CCCAGCAAGGTTCCCTCAAGTGGACACCACACGCCCAGCAGAGTTCCCTCCAGTGGACACCATGTATCCAGTACAGCTCCCTCCAGGGGACACTAAGAGTTCAGCCGAGCTCCCTCCAGTGGACACCATATGCCCAGCAGAGCTCTCCCCAGTGGACAACACAGAGTGAAGTCCTGCTGTTACACTGAGGGGGCCCTGTGAGCCATGTGCATCACCGGTTCCTGCAGACACTCCAGGGACAGTGCTGGCCATCAGATGGGCTAGTGCAGCATCAGCTCACAGCTCACACCAGGGAACAGGCCCCTGCACCGGTGAGTTACCGTTTAGGATAAACTGACCCTTTACACTGAAAACGGAGCAAGTGGCCCTGATGTTGGGATCTGAGACGAGAATTCCAAACACACTGAATCAGGGAAACCAGAACACGGCCTAACATCCCCAGGAGCCCTCGTAGGTGGACAGTGACCAACTGCAAGGCTGGTGTTCAGAGAACCCACAGCCAGGCCGGGGGAGAACACCGAGGCCGTCTGCTTTCCTACAGATCCCGATGCGGCAGCTCCTCTCGTCCTACGGTCACGACAGGTGTGGGTCCTCATGGCAACGGAGTTATCACACCAGATTCTTTGTACCACATAGCCACTGTGGCTTCCCCTGAGACCCACGAAAACCAAACCTCCAAGCCAATGCCTCTGAGTCAGTCCAGACTCCTGATGACCCTAAGGGTCCCAGCAGAACTGCTCCTACGGTTCCTCCCAAGGTGTAACCTCTACAGAAGCAGAGAGCTGGCGGGAGCAAACCACTGATCCTCCAGCCGGCATGCCAACACTAAACCCACTGGGACAAAGCGGCCTTACTCTTGCAACGCATGCTGAAATATTTAGGGTAAAGGAGAGAGTCTGACTGTCAGGTGGTGTGGCCATCTGAGAGCGGGCTGGCCAGCACCAGAGCAGCAGGGATGCAGATGGCTGACAAGCAGCACCAGGGCCGAGAGGAGGTGCTGTCCCCCCGCTGCGCTGTGGGCATCCACCATGGGGGTCGGGGGGGTGCAGCCACAGAAACACCAGGGCCGAGAGGAGATGCTGTCCCCCTGCTGCGCTGTGGGTATCCATCACATGGTGGGAGGTGGGGTGCTGCCACAGAAACACCAGGGCCGAGAGGAGATGCTGTCCCCCCGCTGCGCTGTGGGCACCCACCATGGGGGTCGGGGGGGTGCAGCCACAGAAACACCAGGGCCCAGAGGAGGTGCTGTCCCCCCGCTGCGCTGTGGGCACCCACCATGGGGGGGCGTGGGAGGGGGATGCAGCCACAGAAACACCAGCGATCACCAGTTAGGCAAGGTCCAGTTCAAAGACACAATGCGTTAGAGGGGGCTCTTGCTTCTGTTTTTAAAATAACTCTGTTTTCATGCCTTTACCAAAGAGACATCTAAGATAAAAGGATTTTTTAAAAATGGATTAAAGTGAAGGGACAGAGAAATTATATCAGACAAAAAGCAACCAAAGGAAGCCAGTCCAGTCACTGCTCAAACCACGTAAAGAGGCGGTCAGGCGCTGGCAAGTACGACTCCCAGTGGCCGTGAGCCAGACCCTGTCCCATCCTGCGTCACCCTCATCATCTCTGACACAATGGAGCCCACTGCTGTGCCACCGTCAATCCAACTGATTGAGGGTCTTCTCTCATCTGCGGACCCTCTACTTTTCCAAGCATGATGTCGCTCTCCAAGACAGACTGTGGCAAAATAGGTAGAGTTATCAACAATGACAGCAAGTCGACAGGAGGGGCTAACCCAGAGAGAATCAAGTGAATCCAAGCTCGAGGGTCCCAACAGCACAGCGCTGAGCAGAAGACGAAGCCATAAGCACAGTAGGCGACTGCAAACATTCTTCTGTCATTTATAGAGAATGCAAACGGGGAAATTCGTGTAGACATAGAAGAGCGACCTGCAAATTAACAGACTTGATGGACATACACAGAACACAATTACTCTGCATCAACTGATAGGTATCTTCCACACACAGAACAATTATGACAATGACCCACACGCTGGACCCTAAAACGAGTCCCAGTAAAGCTAAAACCCTGCATCTTCCCTGACAGTCCCCTCTCCACCTCCCCAAGACTAGATGCAGCCACTTCTCCACACCTCTGCCGCTGCCTATCCCAAAAGCAGAAACCTGGCGACATCCGGAAAGCTCAGAATCACCTGCCTGAAGCCCCCAGGGATGCTGACTTCCCGTTTCCTGTCCACAGTGACAGGTGATCGTGGAGAACGACATCACAAGGTTGGTGACACAGGTAGACACACCCCCTGCCCACCTCACCTTGATCACGGTCACGTCCATGCCAGACAAGTGAAGTATCGGGGCGGCATTTTTTTCAAACAGCGCCCTGGCTTTTCTGTGGGTAAAAGATGGAAACGGCACAGGTTATGAAACACAATTTAACCATGTTCCCTTGTCTAGAGCGAGGCAGCGGGGCCTGGGCATGTGTATCTGTTCAAGCAGAGGGCGCCTGGCAGTGTGCAGAGACAGTTACTGTGCTGACTGCTAACCTGAGATGTGAGATGCCAGAGGCAGAGCGTCCATCAGGAGCACCTCGGAAGAAAGGCCTGGCCTCCCCTTCAAGACCTGGGCCAAAGACCTCACGGAACTCAGCTCTCCTCAGACCCAGGGGGGTCACCATGAGTCACTAATGACTCCAGAGCAAATGGTTTCAACCCAGCAAAGAGGAGCTGGGCCAGGACCCATCTCTGCTGGGTCAAGGAAGAAGGCAGGAGCAGCTGGACCACGTCCACCCTGGAGAGGCAAAGTGTAGGAGACGCCTCCACCTGCCACCATCAGCTGCACACACCTGCAACTGCTTGGAGTCAGTTCCCGCAACAAAATCTGCATAAGCTCTCTGCAGAAGCTTTCCACGATGCTACACATTCAGTGGAGGGGCCATGGGGCCTAACGTGTAACAGGCTCGAAGTGAAAGGTCGGTTGTTTGAACCCCACAGCTGCTCCGAGGGAGAAGACGGGCAGTGCCTTATGAAGGAGGACAGCCACAGAAGCCCAAGGGGGGGGGGGGCGCTGAGTCAGGGGACCCCAGCGACGAGCTTGCTTTTCAGTTGGTACGTTCAAAATCCCTCTAAAAGGAGGACTCTTTCTTCTGATGTTCACACACAAGACTGAAAAGAGCAAATGTTACCGGTAAGAAATGCATTATTAACTACATAATTAAGAGTGAGAAAGCGCCAGGCCAGGGTGAATGAAAGCCTTTATGGACTTAAAGCAATTTCCACATTCACACGCGCGCGCGCACACACACACACACACACACACACACACACACACATTAATTACTCTCAATGCATTATTTACCAAAGCTAAACACACAGTCACCTTCCTCTGTAAAGCTCGCATGTCGTTTTAAACCAGGACTACATAATGAAGGAGCCACATGATAAATTATAAATTAGGTGTCAGACTGGAGCCAAGATGGCAACAAGAGTGCAATTAAAGAGTGAAGACAGTGCTTTCAAAAAGGTTTCTAAGCTCCTCCTGATTTTTGACTGTAGTGTCCTGTAATTCTTCAAGTTTGTTTTTCATCCATTGAAAACATTCAATCATTATTTTTTTTTAAATTCTGCATCAGAAAGTTCCATCAGACTTTCTGGCTTCAGGAAATCCATTGCTACTGTGTCATTTTGGGGGGGGGAGATATCTTGCTTTGGGCTTGCGTGGTGAGTAAGGTACCCTGCTTCTTTCGAGACATTGACGTGGAAGATTTTTTGAAAACTAAGGTGATAGTTGGTTCTTGGTTTGACGTCAACTACTTCTCTGTTGCAATGTCCAGTACCTCCCTGTTGCTTGAGTTGGCAGGACCAATGTGGTTAAGGCCAAACAGCAGTTTGTAGTCTAAAGAAACAAAATCTTCAATGTTGGACAACTTTTTCAGGTGAGGCTGATAAATGCTATCATTTGGTCTATGTGTTTTTGTTCTTTTGTGTGTGTGGTTTTTTTAAGTCCTGGCCCGAGGGCCGAAGGCCCTTGGGCCCCAAAATTCAAAGCTGGCGGGGCATGTAGACTTCTGGGGCGGGGGAACCGATGTGATACCTGAGAACATGATGCTGAGTGAAATATCTCAGTCACAAAGGGACAAATGCTATATGATGCCACTGCTGTAGAATGAAGCTGACATCGGGGTGGGGGTAAGACTGAGAAAAACTGGATAAATTATGTCTACTGCATTGAAGTCTATGAGGGAGAGAATAGTTTAAAAGTATTATATTTTAGGGCATTATGTTTTTCATAAAAGTATGGAATGAGGGCTGCAGAGTGGATTATATTTGGGATTGGGGTGTGCGGGGGGGGTATT